AATAGCATTACAAGTACCTTTATAACACCTTATGCCATTGTTCATAATGTTTATGACTGACTGATGTTATAATGTCTTATGTAGCTGTTATAAAGGCTGTATGAATGCATACATAAGGGGGCGGACAGTAAAGTGTTAGCCAGTGCTGGCTGCATAGTCAGTAGTCAGTAAACAAAATGCTGTTTGTGTTACTCAGATGAAGAAAGAGCTGAGGGAGAAGGGGATGTCTGATGGTGTCAAACTGAGATGGAAGGAGCAGCCCGATAGAACGATCTTGCACAAGGAAGAAAAGGGGAAAAAGAAAGGAGAAGAAACTGATCAGAGTATGAAGGATGAACTGTAAATTTACTGAACAAAAATATATACGCAACATGCAACAATTTCAAAGATGTTACTGGGTTACAGTTCCTATAAGGAAATCAGTCAATTGAAAGGAATTCATTAGGCACTAATCAATGGATTTCAAATGACTGGGCATGGGTGCAGCCATGGGTGGGCCTGAGAGGGCATAGGCCCACCCACTTGGCAGCCAGGCAGAGCCAATCAGAATGAGTTTTTCCCCACAAAAGGGCTTTATTACAGACAGAAATACTCATCAGCAGCTTATGCTAGAGGAATTAACATTCAATTATCTTGTAACAGCTCTGGTGAACATTCCTGCAGTTAGCATACCAATTGCTCGCTCCCTCAAAACGAGACCTCTGTGGAATTGTGTTGTGTAACGGAACTGCACATTTTAAAGTGGCCTTTTATTGTCCCCAGTGTAATGATCATGCTGTTTAATCAGCTTCTTGATATGCCACACCTGTCAGGTGGGTGGATTATCTTGGCAAAGGAGAAATGCACATTAACAGGGATGTAAACAAATTTGTGCACCAAATTTGAGAGAAATAAGCTTTTTGTGCGTATGGAAAATTTCAGGAATTGTTATTTCAGCTCATGAAACATGGGACGAACACTTTACATGTTGCATTTATATTTTTGTTCAGTGTATTACAGGAAAGACTTAAGGGGACTTTTCTGACGAACATCCTATTAACAGCCTGACTACTAAAAACCTAAATCTGATCTTACCATAACCCTAACCTTAACCAACCCCTTATCCCTAACCGTAACCTTAACCTTAACCCTAACCTTCACCTAATTTGAACCAATATGGAAATGATATATGGGCTTGCATGTCAATCACTTCCCCTTAGTTTTTCCTTACTTTTACATTTAAAAAAACATATATCCTATCCTTTATATCCTATTCTTTATAGCCAACAATGGGTCAATTGTATTACTCATACATTATAATGTCAAATTGCATTTAGGTTATGTGACATTTCAAAGGTTTCAGCTTCCTTTTTATTGATTATTGTTATTGGGCATTATTGTTTCTCAGTTTGTAAACAACTATCTTCACAAAAATAGTGCATGGTCCAATTTACATTCTATGGGAAGAAAAGTTGTATTCCTATATTTATTCTGGAGTTGTATTTATTCTGTAGGTTTAATGTAACAGTCCCCACAAGGAGAATGTGTAAATGGTTGTTTATTATCTAATTGGTTGAACAGTTGACCAATTGGTTTATAAGTTGACTGATTGGTTGGTTGGTTGGTTGGTTTGCTTCATTATGTGATTGATTATGTATTGATTGGTTATGTAACTTTAATATGTTTCACAGCATTAAAGATTCTTTATTTGATAAGGTTTTACTGTGTATGTTTTTGTTTACATACTGTATTATACCTGTAACATCATATAATCTACAATTGCCTGTTACACATTCAATGGTAGTGTCAATTAAATGTACATTTAAGGAGAATTCACCTGACAATACATTTGTTTCTGACATGCAAGAAAACAAGTCTCTTGGGCATAAATTCTATTCCATTCTAGACATGTTGTTACGTAGCTCCTGATGTCAAACATAATCTAAACATCAATTTAATCCATAGCTGTATGATATCGCATCCATGATTTAAAGCCCCACTCTGTAATTTCAACCATAATTTAAAGTCTAGGACAAACAAGTCTCTTTAGATTCTAGTCTATTCTTGTCTATTCTGTACATTTCATTATGTAGCTTGTGGTGATCTAGGACTGGTTTGTCAAGTTTGGCCGAGGAAAAATGGAACCGCCAACTATTTTATGAACACTCCTAAAGAATAGGCAACACACACACACAGACTCTCGACAGACAGAGGGAGAGAAAGAGAAAGAGAGCGAGGTGAGTGTATCATGGTTTCTGGTTTTAATGTACTGATGTTGAGAAACTGTTGACATATTTATAACAGTGGATTATTTCAAGAGTTATACTTACTTTATAACTTTAGCTATACTTACGATTATTTATGGGTTCAATCTGAATGGAGAATAACCTCATTTAATCTCTTTGTGATCCTATAAACTAGATAAGACACCAGATAAGGATCATCTGCATCAAGATATAGAGGTAACGCTTTATTATAACTGTCATGTGTATGCAGCCATTTTTTATAGCAATATCATATCATTTCTGGGTACCTTACTGTAATAGATTTCCATTAAAATGTCAAAAAATTGCTTTTTAAGCTATTTTTCAAGCAATAATTTAGCTAGGACTGTCTGGGAGTGGGGAGGTGAAAACTGAAAACTAGCTGTTATTGGCAGAGAGTTTTGGAACTATCTTTGTTATTGGTCTTTTAACCAATTTACTGCTTTATGATGTCACCATGGAAAGCTGAAACTCCTCTCTTCCTTTGCCATCATTCTCTCCTCTTTCTCCCTCCCTCTCTTCCCTTCCTTTCTCCCTCCTCTCTCTTCCCTCTCTCCTCTCCCCTTGCCCTTCCTCTCTCCCTTCCTTCTCTCTCGTTCATCAATGTTTACCTCAGTGTATTTGCATAGCTGGTGCAGGGACTTTTCATTGTAACACACATACGCACTTGTCTGTGCACACATAGGCTGCGTCCTAAGTGGCAACCTATTCCCTTTATAGTACACTACTTTTGACTAGGGCCAATTTGGGATGCAGCCATACACACACACACACACATACACACTTATTTGCTTAAAGCGCCACTCTGCAATTTTTTGAGCAGAATATCTAATTGAATATCACTTTAAATTCCTCATGCGTTATAGTTCAATTGAATTTGAGAGTGGTTACATTTCCCTAGTGCCATCCCTCAGTTTTATAGCAAACCAAGTGGCAGGCTGCTGTTTTGTTGTTGTTCAAATTACAGAGTGTGGCTTTAAATCATGGATGTGATATTGTACAGCTGTGAATTAAAATGATGTTTAGATTATGTTTGAACTCAAGGGTTCATGGTTTCAGTTCAGATGTGTTGATGTATGTTGGGTTTCAAATCAATCGAACAGATAGAAAGAAAGAGAAGGAAAGCGCAAAAGGGTAGAGGAGATGGAGGAGGAAAACAGATAAGGTCATAAAAAAGGAGGATAGGAAAATGAGACATGGACCTGCGAGCGCTACATAGAGCAGCAGAGAGGAAGAAGGAGGGAGAGAGAGAAAAAGAGAGGGGAGAGAGCGAGCAACAGTCAGCCAGACTAACATAAAACAACTTGAAAAACAAGGTAGGATACTGTTTTCGACTTTTAACTTTTAACAGTTGTTGATGTTTTGTTACTGATAGCCGTGATCTTTGTATGAAAGTAATTCAACAGTGTGTGCTACCTTCCTACACTCTTAGAAAAAAAGGTTCCAAAAGGGTTCTTTGGCTCTCCCCATTGGAGAACCTTGGAAAGTGTTTCTTCATGGAACCCAAAAGGGTTCTACCTGCAACAGCAGGAAAATAAATCCTGCAGCAACAGGAAATGTGAATTATTATGTGGATTATGATTAATGGGCATTTTTGTAGGGGTTGATACATTTTTCGTAAATTCATGAAATGCAGTTGAATATAGTTTTTGTTCATTTGTTTAGAATTCTCCTCATTCACATATTGCTCTTTGAGAGAGAGAGAGAGAGAGAGAGAGAGAGAGAGAGAGAGAGAGAGAGAGAGAGAGAGAGAGAAGAGAGAGAGAGAGAGAGAGAGAGAGAGAGAGAGAGAGAGAGAGAGAGAAGGAAGACATGAATGAATGTCATGATAATTGCTAGGGGTGCGTCACTATCATGTCACAGACCAACAGTGAGTGGGACAGGGAGTGTCAGAACAGACATGGTTTCAAATACTATTTGAAATCTTTCAAATACTTCAAGCATTTGCTCTAGCCTGCCTAGAGTGCCAGATGGGTGGGGTTTACAGGTTTGGAACTATTATATTGGTCCAATAAGGCCGGCAAGGTCACTCAAGCATTATTTCAAATACTAATTGAACCCAGGTCTGCATTAGTGGAGTCATCAGTGGGTGTAAGGGGGGGAAGTTGACTCTAAACGCTGATCTTGGGTCAGTTTTGCATTTCTGTACCTAGTGGAAACTTCACCTCTGTCATCAGAGTGAATGAGGAAACAACTTCATCTAGCAGAACTTGTTTAACACGACTGGGAAACATGTCATCTAATGGCATTAAAAACCTGATTGACAGCAGTCAACCAAACAGCCTCATTTATTGCTTGATTGGAGAAGAGAAAAGCTGTGTTTAGGACAGTAGTGGGTTTTTAAAGCTTTCCAATACAATTCTTTATTGGAAAAGAGAAAGGATTGTATTTAGGAAAGTAGTGGTTAGCATTATGGCTTGGTTAGCATAAATAACAAGTGGTTAGCTTTAGCAAATGTGGGTAGCATAAGTGGTAATAGAATTATGGTCTGTTAGCAGTAGTGGTTAGCATGACTCAACGCTGAGGATTATGGGTGGGTTTTGGAATAACTTTTCATCTTTATCCATTTTGACAGTGAAACATTCCTCCATTTCCATATGGACTTACAGTCATCCAAGGAAGACGACATTGTGCTTGTAACATGTCTTAGAACTATCCAGAGGACCTGAAGGGACTATACAGTGACTCTGTCTTTCGTTTTGTCCTTCAGTCACCTTTCCCTGACAACAAGGACATAGAGATAAGCACTAAAGTACCATGCAGGACGACCCTGAGCGATACTTGGTGATTGGGGGAAACAGAACGGGAGACATCCACAGGACTGGTAGTGGGTTTGCTGGTGTGGGAAATGGGGGAGGCAGGGGAGACAGGGGAGATGAGCAAGACACAAGCATGGAGCTGGAGTATTTGACCAGTAGCACAACAGACAATGCTGACACCAGAGAACGTCAGATTGCAGAAGAAGATGAGGACGGTAACATCATCACGCAAAGGAACAACATCACAGCTAAAACGATTGACATTAGGACTCAATGTGATGACTTCAGAGATGAGGTCAACGGTGAGTCCGAGAGCCAATCAGAGCACAGCGAGTTTCGGGTCTACATAGAGGTGGGCGTGGCTAAGGTGGAGCTAGCCCCGGAACCACTCAAGGCCCAATCGTCTTTCCAAGGATCTCCAGAGGTCCCTTCTACTGTGAGCACTGGTAACCATGGCACTGACATTAAAACAGACACTTTGATGAATGACAACACCAACTCCAGCACTGACTTTGATAATAATAGCGCTAAAATGACCACTGACACTTATGATCATTTAGATGATAGCGTCAAAGTCAACGATGAAGATTCTTTGGACAAAAAGAGTACTGATTTTCTCCCTGACAGCACTGAATTCAAAATGAAGGCTCCCAAGGATGCTACATGCACTGCCAGTCCTGACAACACAGACTTTACCGAAGATGCCTTTAAATTAAAAACAAACCCACACAATCACAATCCTGATCTGGCCGTGATGGACTCCACAACAACCCTCTGCAGACGTAACCACGACAACCACACAACCGCCGAAATCCCATCCGACGACACTTCCACTTCTAGATCGGAAACTTCAGTCCCTCTCAACCAATCGGCCCCTGCGCCCGACATCACATGGGACGACACCCCGAACCTCAGGGAGGGGGGCGAAGGCGATGGTAGACTGCCCTCAAAGAGGAGTGTAGCAGAGGGGGTGTGCTGCTGCTACAGAGCAGTGCACAAGGCCTTCATAAGGTCTGTCTGATTTTTACATTTTAAATCTGTATTTGAATTATTTAATGTAATTCTGTAGGTATTTTTCTACACTTTATTTTATTCAAACAGCAAGAAATCAAGGAGGGAGACAGGCAAGTGGGAGAAACAGTGGACACAGGGATTGAACCCCTGTCTCCGGTGGAAAGTAGTACATGTGACATATGCCGTGGAATGTTTCCACTACACCACGGCTCTGCACTAAACATGTATTTGAAATGTGTATTGTTTGTTGCATAATTCCAGTGTGTGTTTATGCTTCACATTTATGGAAATCGTCAATTTTGTAAAATAATTTAGCCTTCGATGCTATTGATACCAAAGTTATGTTGACTTTATTGAAATAAACCCTTCTCTCATAAGGTGCTTGGAGGAGACGCCAGCCATGCTGCCTGGACTGTTGCTGGCCATGGGCTTCTGTGTGGCTATCATCATCCTTATACCAGCCACCGGCAGGGTGAGAGAGGTGGGGGGGGGGGGGGGGAGTCCAGTAGCCAGGGGTAAGAGCTAGGAGGATGGGGAGGTAAATTAAGCGTTGAGGTGCTGTATTGGATTCTATATATAATTATAATTGAATTAATAAAATATTTGCCATTTTCAATCTTCTCTATTGTCCCTTCTCTCTCTCCCTCTACAGAGTATCAGTGTGGTGTATGTTGCAGTGTTTAACTCGCTCTCCCTCTCCTCCTCTCCAGAACATCAGTGTCCATGTAGGGGCCCTGTCCGTGGTCTGTGTGGTGCTGTGTGTGAGCACAGCCCTGCTGGTGGCCCTGCCCTGGCTGGCCGTGGTGAGGCGGTGTGGGGGAGCGCTGTCACTTTGCCTCTGGGGGGCCCTGTATGTCACAGCCATAGTCTTCACCTTCACCGGAGGGCCCGTCACCGCATGGGAACAGGTCAGACAGGAGAAGGGGCCAGGTTGAGGGAAGGGTTGGAAGGGTAGGGGGAGTCGGGTGAGGAGCAGGTCAAAGATAGGGATGGGGGGAGGTGGAGAATGAATGAGGGGGGAGGAGCAGGTCAGGGCCTGTATTCACAAAGTGTCTCAGTGTGCGAGTGCTTATCTCGGATCAGATCCTCCCTGTCCATGTAATCTTATTGATTATAATCTAAAAGGGGAAACTGATCCTAGACCAGCACTCTTATTCTGAGACGTGGCTAGCTGTGGCGAGGCAATGTGAAGGAGCTCTGTCTCTCTGGTTCGAGGTCTTGTGTATTAAATGTATCTTTATATGAGTTATATTTCTGTCCATGCGGTGTATTGAACTTTCTTTCACTGTCTCTCTCTCTTTCCCTCCCTTCCTCCCTCTACAGGTAGCGTTCTTCCTCTTCCTGTCTCTGTGTGTGTACACGGTGCTGCCCCTGTCCCTAGCCTGGGCTCTGATGGTGGGCATAGGGACCAGTGTGTCACACATCATCATCATCAGTGTCTACGTTCCCGTCACTAGGCCTGACACACCAGACCTGGCAGTGCAGGTAAAAGTAATAGTAAAACACACACACACACACACACATAGACATATATAGACACACACATAGACATAGATAGACACAGACACCCTATTTACACTATTGTGCCGACGCAAATCAAATATTTTATTTTCATATTGTCATTTTGGATTTGGTTCCGGCAACTATAATGGTTGTGTACCCATGAAGTCCAGTGCAGTAGAGCTTGGTTTGGCTCAGTTTGGTGCCATAGAATGAAAGAAAGACCCACACTAAATGTGCTGCAAATGGAAAGGTCACAGGCAAACTTTTGCAAATGAGCTGCAGAGAACTAAATAATAAGTTACAGTAAACACACACATTTGCATCGTCTGATAGCATGCCTATTCAAATCCACCAGGACACTGTGTACCATAGCACAGTCCACAACACACTGTTTTCTATGTTGTTTGTGTGTCTAAGATCAGCTTGGTGCAGCATGGCGATTCTGTTATTTTACTGAACAATGATAAGTAAACACAGTGTTGTAAGAACCACCGCTGCTATGCTACTCTAACCTTTCTCCCTTTCTTTCTCCCACCCCTCTATCTCTCTCTCCTTATCCTCTCTCCCTGTCGATCTGCCCCCACTATCTTTCTCACTCTCTTTCCCTCCATCTCCTACTCTCTCATCTACCCACCCAACCCCTCCCCCCTCTAACCCCTCCCCCCTCTTTCCCTCCCTCTCGCCACTCCCATTGCAAATAAGAATTTGTTCTTCATTGACTTGCCTGGTTAAATACATTTTTATAAAAAATGTCTCTCTCTCCCCCTCCTCCCCGCTCTCCCTCCCTGACAGCTGGTGGCCAACACTGTGTTGTTTTTGTGTGTGAACTGTGTGGGAGTGTTTCACCTGTGGCAGACTGAGCATGCCCACAGGAAGTCCAGTAAGAAGAAAGAGAGGTTCAGCGCCGTGCGCTCCCAGAGGGACATACAAAAACACCAGCAGGTAGCTGAATCAATTAAACTTCAGTTTAACTCAACTGAACTCAATTAAACTCTATAGTCCTATTAATCAATCCCCTCAGAGCCCATTAAAAGGCATCATCTTCCAAGAGAGGTTTCAGTCCTAGATGCCCACCTTTATGACCTGCATGCAAACAGTCTGCTACTGTAAGTCAATAGTTTGATCATTTAATCAATGAACACACAAACCCTCCTCATGCCCTTCCCCTTGACAACAGGAGCACCTCCTCCTGTCTGTGTTGCCACGATATATCGCCATGGAGCTGAAGACGGAGATCATCAAACGACTGTCTGAGAATAAAGACAAAGGACAGAACTTCCACAGTCTGTACATCCGGCAACACAAAGATGTCAGGTGAGGAAATGTGTGCTTATACACACAACACAATACATCATCTGATGAATATAACCTTGTCTGAGACCTGGGCCCGTATTAATAAAGTGTCTCAGAGTAAGAATGCTGATCTAGGAACAGTTTTACACGGAAAGAGGGGGCCTGATCCTAGATCAGCACTCCTACTTTTAGATGCTTTTTGAAAATGGGCCCTGAGGGCTTTTGTTAACTTCCAGGTTTTAGCTGAGAGGGCTAAAGCAGACCTATCCCAGGGTCTATACCTGGTCACTACCATCCCTGTTGTGTCCTTCACTCAATAGTATTCTGTATGCTGACATTGTGGGGTTTACTAAGCTGGCCAGTACCTGTTCTCCTGAGGAGCTGGTGGGAGTCCTCAATAAGCTCTTCGGCAGGTTCGATGACATTGCCAAGGTGAGAGTTTCCCTTAGCCAATCAGTCAGTCACCTTTCCCCTCACCGTGCCCTGGGCTGGATGTATAGGTATAGAAATGTTTTGGCTAGCTAGAGATTCTCTCAAGATATTATCTCAACCACAGGTCAATGGATCCCTATGATGTAGTGCAAATTTACTGAGACGACTTGACTATTACTGTCTTTCTCTGTCTCTGTCTCTGTCTCTGTCTCTGTCTCTGTCTCTGTCTCTCTCTCTCTCTCTCTCTCTCTCTCTCTCTCTCTCTCCTCTCTCTCTCTCTCTCTCTCTCTCTCTCTCTCTCTCTCTCTCTCTCTCTCCTACCCCCTTTTTCCCTATACCCATCCACCCCTCTCCCCCTCTCTCTCTCCAGAAGAACGAGTGTTTGCGTATAAAGATCCTGGGTGATTGTTACTACTGTGTGTCCGGTCTGCCAGACCCAATCCCAACCCACGCCAGGAACTGTGTTCAGATGGGACTTGACATGTGCACTGCTATCAAGTCAGTCTGCCAATCATTCAATCAATAATTCAGTCACTTCTCTCCATCACCACTTATATATAATTTGCTCTCCTTTATCTTTATCTGACTGTCATTCAATGTGTCATTCAACTCCATGTGTATCACCTCTGAGAATCACTTTTGTGAATTGCTTATACATGTTATCACATAAATGTATATGATATCATGTAGATATTTAAATGATTAATCTCAATCACATGTGCTTATCTACTTTATCTATGAATCACTTTATCTGCTCTACTCTGATATATCACCTTGTGATTTAAATGCTAAAATAATTTAACATAATCTGTATAACATTGGTTTGAGGTCCTGGCTGATTGTTATAACCATGTTATATCTCTGTAGTAAACTACGGGAGGCTACTGGTGTGGAGATCAGTATGAGAGTGGGTGTGCACTCCGGCAACGTTCTCTGTGGCGTGATTGGTCTACAGAAGTGGCAGTACGACGTCTGGTCACATGACGTGACCCTGGCCAACCATATGGAGTCTGGGGGCATGCCAGGGTAAGGAACCAGGAAATGCATGTGTTTGTGTTATAATCTGTGTTATAAACTGTTATAAATGTGTAATAAGATGACATAAATGTGTTATAAATTATTGTAAATATGTAATAAATGTGGTATACATGTGTTATTATGTTTGTGTGTTGTGATATCTTTATGCAAATATACTTTCTGCAAATGTGTGTTCAGGAGGCAGGGCACAATTTAACAGATCATTCAGATAGAAATACCTTAGGTAAAACAGATATGATTGTTTGCCATGCAGAATAAGGAATTGTGCCAGTTCTATTCATTACATTTCTATTTGCAATGTTTCCCACCCAAGGCGTGTCCACATTACAGAGGAGACACTGGGACACTTAGCTGGGGTGTACCAAATGGAGGACACTGACGGGGGGAGCCGGGATGCTCTGCTAAAGGGGAGGAAAACCTACCTGGTGATCGACCCCCATAAGGAAGATACCACCTCTAAGAAGAAGGGAGAGGTGTGTGCAATGTGCATGTTTTAGAAAGCCTGTCCTTGTATCTGTGTGTGTATGTATGCGTTTATATTCTCTTAAATGCCTGCACGTGTACAAAAATGTATGCATCACTGATGTGGCTGTGTGGGTATGCCTGCCTACTTCCCTGATAATGAAACACAAGGGGATAGTGTGTGTGTGTGTGTGTGTGTGTGTGTGTGTGTGTGTGTGTGTGTGTGTGTGTGTGTGTGTGTGTGTGTGTGTGTGTGTGTGTGTGTGTGTGTGTGTGCGTGTGCGTGTGTGTGCGTGCGTGTGCGTGTGCGCACGTGCGCGTGTGCGTGTGCAGTGTGATTCAATCATTAAGACACACAAATGACTGGAGGGAGCCAGAGATCAAGATAGCCTAACCATAAGAAGAAATACCTGTTACCAACCCTCTTCCTCCTGCTACTGCAGGCCTTCGCAGATTCTGCTGTTACGCTCCTAATAGGCTACACCAGGGGTCGGCAACCTTTTCCATTTCTACCGATCTGCGTGCCAGTTATGATTTTTATATGCACATTTTCGTGGATCAGTTTCATTTAATTTATAACAAAGTCTTCATTTCTCAAAATCGAAATTCTAAAAGTAACTTCTATTTCCAACTATGTAAAAAATAGTTTACATAAAGCCAACAAATAAAAACATTGCCGCCTGCAGGTAGAAAATATCCTGATAAAAAGAAATATCCTATAAATCACATTGGCTACACATGGCCTGTCTGCAAGGAACTTGAAACATTGTATCAACTACTGACTGGGGTTGAAGCTCATGCAAGCAAACTTGCAACATTGTATCAAATATTCTGGGCCCTCAGAGTTTCCCACTCCAGTGAGCTCCAGACAGACATAGATGTAGGCTATTTGCGCAAAGGAGAAGTAATCAGTTAGGCCTATTTTATAACATTTCCACCAGATCAGAGCATTACATTTCTTCCCCCATTTCACGCTGAGTGGTTAGCTGGAAAGATTTTTCAAATAGGCTATGTAAAAACAGACTTTGTTTACTTGCTGTTTGAGGTGATGAAAAAATTACTTTGAGAAGTTCCACAGTGGTGGTGAGTTAAGACAATCAGAAATACTATCAGATCCCCAAATGGGCACATTTATAGGCCTACATTTGTTTCAGGCCAGGTAGCCCAGACCTACTTCAATGTATAATCAGGTGCTTACTCAACATTGACAGGATTCATTGATATCAATAAATTATATACTTATATAAATATAATTAATACATTGACAACTCCTAAATGGAATGAAATAAACCAAAACTTGTTCCTCACAAGTGTAGCCTATAGGTTGTGCGGTCCGCAAACAACGTGTCCACTCCAACAATGAGAACTGTAAAAGACTGTAGTAATAATATATTGAATGCATGAACAGAAATTACCATAACCAGACAAGCATTGTAGATGACAAATTATGAGAATTAACGGTAAAAGTACTACTGGGGATACTGGTGTGCCTCCACAATGGATTAGTCCACTGAGACAGGCGTGAATCAGACAGGTGTCTCATGTGCCATACAAATATATATACTGTTCGACCAATAACATTTCGGTCGACCAACAGCCTATCGACCGAATAATCGACCAGTCGACTAAATGGGATCAGCCCTAGTGTGCATGCCTGCATCGCTGATGTTTGGGTGTGTTCCAGACTAACACCCTGACGGTCAGTGGTCGTAAGCAGCGAGCCTCAGTGAGGATGTCTCAGTACCTGCAGTCCTGGCAGACCATCAGTCCATTCTCTGACCTCAGCAATCCTGAGGCCACACCCACCCAGCTGCCAATCACCCCGAGCTGCGCCAGCACGAACCAATCACAGCCGTCCGCAGTGAGTAATGTACCTGTTGAACCCGCCTACCTTCTATGTTCACTCAGACACGTATGCACACAGACTCAACGCTGATCCACACTTATGCCATTCACACATGATCATGCCGACATGCTTTCACAAACACACACCCCGTATCCCATCCCACCCACTCATATTCCTAAGTAAGTAACATACCAGGGTCATTAGGCACCACATGGAAGTAAACTGAAACAGGGAGGGAGAAAATACCTGGACTTGTCCAACAAGAAACACTCATTTTAAAGCGTTTACCATTGTGTGCCAAAATGAACATGACCCTGTTAGTCCCTTCTACTACCTTCTCCCATTACACACACATGCATGACATACTTTCACAAACACAGACACCCTTTCTCCCACTCACTCTTATGCCTTTCATGACCATTTCTCCTTAGCAATCCTCACAATGTCCTTACAAAACAAATCATTGAACAGTTTTTTTGCTTCTCTTCTGTCAGTCTTTCACCACTGACGGAGTTAATCTTATATATTCAGAGTGAACTCGAACAGTGTGTGTGTGTGTGTGTGTGCGTGTTTTGTTGACTGTGTGGTTGTGTGTGTGTGTGTTTGTTTGTAGGATAGACCACCTACTCTTCCCGATTCCAACAGGTAAACCAGCTTTTCTATTTTAGTTTGAATTATTTTCCCATCGTTGTATAAGTGTCATTTTTATTAATTAATCAAAATAATCCTTCCTTAGTACCAGTCAAGTCCTGGACGATGGCATAAGAGGGTCGTTAGATACCATAGACGCTGCAGGGTAAGTGTTTTTCCATAGCTGTAAGACCTTTCTGTTGTGTTCTGTTATTTTCTCTAGTATCTGTCTCCTGTCTTCTCTTATTCTATCTATCACAGGCGGAGGGAAAAGAAGCTGAACTGCTTCACACTGTTATTCAATGACCTAAAGCTGGAGAAACAGGTGGGAGTTTTTATGCTGCTGTGTTTAATTTGTTATGTAATAGTTATGTTTTGTGACATGTCTGTGTGTTAGATTTGTCTTTTGAAGTGTGGTGTTAGTGTCTGTGTTGTATGTTGTGATCGGTCTGGTATAACGGTACACTCCTAAAAAATAAGGGTGCTTTGCGGTTCTATTTAGAACCTTTTTGAGGGCCATGAAGCAAGCCATTGAACCCTTTTAGGCTGTAGTTACACAATGCAACTTTCACGCAATTTTAGTTGCTGTGGCAAGTGACATGATTTCAAGCAACATTGCTAATACACGAAGCAACTAAAACGCGCAATTTTAATTGCTTGCAACAGCCAATCAAATGGAAGCTGCTTTTTTCATATCCTACCATATGGTTTGAGAATTCTAAACTCACCCAATGTTATCTGCTGCATTACATCGGGATTTCACAAATGATTTGTTTATCCAATCGTTTGGTTATTGTATGAGGATCAATTTAGACAAAATGCTGGCTGTACAATTTAGCTAGCTGAAAAAAAGTATATTGCCAGAACTGTTTCATCAATCTAGCTAGCAATGAGCTAACCAAGCTAGCAACGAACTAAGTTAGCTAGTGCAGTTAATAATTAACAATTTCAGTTGAAAATGGTCAAGGAGAGGTCTGGGTTCACTTCAAAAATGTAATTGATTGACTGCCAAACCATGTACATAAACCTTTACTAGCCCTAATACCAATACAGATCCCATTTGGCTAATATCTCTTCTGTCAGGACCATGTCTGTTCTCTCAGCCCTGTTTCCTCAGGCCCATGTTACGTCAGTTATAACCAGGGGTCGTCAACCCGAATGAGAGGAAGAGCCATTTTCCAAATTCATGTCGTCACCAGTGATTCAATATTTCAGTGTGTCACGCCCTGGCTCTGGGACTCTGTTATGTTGAGCCAGGGTGTGTTGTTTCTTTGTGTTTTGTATTTCTATGTTGGCCAGGGTGGCTCCCAATCAGAGACGGCTGTAGCTCGTTATCTCTGATTGGGAGCCATACTTAGGTAGCCGTTTGGCATTCATTTGGTGTGGTTTCTTGTTCCGTGTTGGTTTTGTGTATGTAACCAAGGACGTCACGTTATCGTTTTGTTGTTTTGTTCGTGTGATCATTATTTAATAAATATGTTCGCATTCCACGCTGCGCCTTGGTCCTCCTCCTTCAACGATCGTGACACAGTGGGTCCTAGGCCATATGAGTTGACACAATCATTATAAAAATGTATTGAGTAGATGCTGAGATCGATTTTTTCTTCTTCAGAAAATGCAATGCGGGCTGCTGTAATATTTGTCACACCCTGATCTGTTTCACCAGTCTTTGTGATTGTCTCCACCCCCCTCCAGGTGTCGCCCATCTTCCCCAGTGTATTTATATCTGTGTTCTCTGTTCGTCTGTTGCCAGTTCGTTTTGTTTCATCAAGCCTACCAGCGGTTTTTCCCTTGCGCCTCTTTTTCAAGTTCCTGTTTTCAAGTTTTCCCGATTTTTTACCATTCTGCCTGCCCCTGAGCCTGCCTGCCATTCTGTACCTTTTGGACTCTGATCTGGATTACTGTCCTCTGCCTGCCCTTGACCTGTCGTTTGCCTGCCCCCTGTTTTTGTAATAAACTTGTGTTACTTCGTCACTGTCTGCATCTGGGTCTTCTCCTGAAATGTGATAATATTGACAAAAGGTCAAGGTCATAGTGATTGATCATGGTCAGTAGGTCCCATACCCTTACATGAAATAATCAGCATTTTCTACCTTATAACAATAAGCATTTGAGCCAATTTTGAATTGGAATTGGTTCAGTGGATACTGAGGGAACATAGGGCTGAGGGAACATAGGGCTGAGAGAACATAGGGCTGAGGGAACATAGGGCGGACCCCCTTCTGTCAAACTTGATTGCAGTTTCGGCAGCACTGACAGCTGTGTTGTTAACAAGACAACTGGGTCAGATTTCCAAACCTATTATGACTGACTGTTGTATTAGTTTGATGTAATGGTAGTGTATCTGGTGTTGTGTCTGATTTATTAGTGGGGATTATGTCTGAGTTGTGTTTGGTATTATAGGGTGTGTTGTCTGTGTAATGATATAGGCTAATGGTGTTGTGTGTTGTATGTGTGTTGCAGTTTCGTCTCTCAGAGGTCAAAGGTCTACACCAGTCAGTAGGCTGCATGGCTCTCATCTTCGTGTCTCTGTTTACTGTCCAAATGCTCGTCTCCCAGAAGTGAGTATCCAGTGTGTGTGAGGTACAAAACCTTTCAACGCACATTATGCACACACACATACTACTGTTGTGATGCAAATACAAATGTCACAATGCAAACTTGCAAATGTAGCAGAGAACGAAATAAAAAAGGAGTTTGCGTTTTGCATTTACTGTGAGCATCAACCACAAACAACATCCAGATAAAAAGAGAGAGTGGGGAAGAGGTGTAGAGGGCCTAAGGATCAATGGAGAGAAATTGAGAATTCATTTTATTGCTCTCGATCTCTCTCTCGTTCTCTCTCTCAGAAACGTTGCCATGGCTGTGTCGTATGGGGTCACCTTCCCTGTTCTAGTGCTTCTTCTCTCCGTGGTCTGCACTCGATACCTCAAGGTAACACTAAACCTAACCCTAACGACGGCTCAACACTAACCCTAAGATTCAGCCCCAGCGAGATTCAGGTTAAGATTCAGCCCGAGCTGTATGTTTCTCTTTAACAATTCCAGTGTTTGAGTGTTCTAACCAGGTATTTTATGTGTGGGTGTTTTCAGATATGGCGCTCTAAGATGCCTCTCAGTGTACAGTGGGTGTCGTCGCTGTCGCAAGGAGTGGCTACAAGGGCAGCGGTACGTTTACTGCTGGTATGCCTCTGTCTACTCATCACCCTGCTTATGGCCATACTGAACTTTGTGAGTCAGCACACACACACACAAATATATAAATCCACATACACTGATACAAACTCTGACACATACACACACTGTGACCCATTGTGTTTTTCGCCCCTAAGTTATTTCTACCTGGAAACAACTGTACCTCCATCTCCCACAACACAACACAACTACAGAACCTCAACCTGTACACTGTCCCTGTAAGTACCTCCTCAATCAACCAATCAATCAATCAACCAATCAAACAAAGTGTATTTGCATTATTGAAATGGATACACTTGTCACAGTGCCTATTATCGGTCATTAGTAATATCAAAATCTATATATTTTTCTCTTTCTCTTCTCTCCCTCTCTCCCATCTGTGTCTGTCTCTATCTGTCTGTCTGTCCATATCCCCCCTCCCCTCTCCCTACAGTATTACCTGTACTGCTGCCTGCTGGCTATGCTAGGTGTGGTGGTGTTTGTGAGGACGTGTATGTCCATCAAAGTGTTGCTCCTCACCCTGGCTGTAGTAGTCTACCTGGCTCTCTTCCTCCATGTCTATGCACCTCGCTCAGACTGTTACATGGCCCTGCTCTACAACGATACAAAGTAAGACTAACACACACACACACGTTGCTCTACAACAACACCAAGTTAGACTGGATAACAGATAGTAACATGTACACCTGCACGTACACACACACTTTTAGTAACAGCCCGATACTCTCTGTGTTAGGTTACATAAAACCAAAGTGTATCTCAATACATTAGTCAATGAAGCCTGAGGCGGGGTTATCTCTTTGGGCCTTTGTATAGGCTCCTTGAATAAATAAAGGTAAAATGCTACTATCGTCTGGGATTCACAATCTGGACTCAGACAAAAGTTATGAAACTCTAATAACCTGGGCTGAGTCAGACAGTATATGCATGTGTGTGTTAGAGTACGTTTAAAAAAAAAATAACTGTGACATGACAGAGAGAGAGAACAAGAGAGAGAGGGATGATTACATAGTGTCTCAAAGTGTGTGTGTGTTCCCACAGGCCTGGAGTCCTAAAGGAGCCTAAGATCATGGCTGGAGTCTGGCTGTTCATCTTCTATTTTACATGCCTCATACTGGCACGACAGGTAACGGGACATGTCTTTGTGTGTTCATACGTGCGTGCTTGCTTTCGGCGTGTGTGAGTGCTTGTGGCGTCCATGCCTTCCTGCTTGTATGTGTGTTCGTGTATATTTACTGTATATGTGTGTGTTTAACGATGTGTGTGTTGGTCAGGATGAGTTGGGTTGTCGCGTGGAGTACCTACTGAAGCAGTGTTTCAGAACTGAGAGGGATGAGATGGAGACCATGGAGAACGTTAACAAACTACTACTGAAGAACGTCCTGCCTCTTCATGTAGCATCTAAATTCATGGGCAAGGCCATACGCAACCAGGTAAGTAAACTTCTGTGTGTGTGTCTCAGACCTGGGTTCAAGTACTATTTGCAATCATTTTAAATACTTTAGCTGTGCTTGATTGAGCTTGCTTGTTGCAATATAACCAATAGAAAAAACCCACTTACCTGGCACTCCAGGCAGGCTAAAGCAAGTATTTTAACAATTTCAAAAAGTATTTGAACCTAGGTCTGGAGAGTACAGTGGTCAGTGAGGCAAATGGGCTCTACCACCAGCAACAATGCTGTAACTGTGTTAGGGTCACATCATGCAAAAAACGTGCAAATGATCGTGCAAATACCAAGGCCTTGGGTAGGACGAAGTGAGGCGTCATGATTGTGTGTGTGTGTACATGTATATAATATGTTTGTGTATGTATATAACGTGTATGTGTTGGGATATGACGTGTGTGCTTGTGATATGACGTTATAACGTGTTTTGTGCATGTGTATATAACGTGCTTGTGTCAGTGTTTTGATATAAAAAAAAAATTAAAAAATAGTTAAAATAAAATTAAGATAAATAAAATAAAAAATAAAATAAAAACTTTTGTAAAGTGGTTAACCCACTGGCTATAGGGTGAATGCACCAATTTGTAAGTCGCTCTGGATAAGAGCGTCTGCTAAATGACGTAAATGTAACGTAAATGTAAATATAACGTGTGTCTTGTGTGTGTTGTGTTGCAGGACCTATACAGCCAGTCATGTGACTGTGTGTGTGTGATGTTCGCCTCGGTACCCCAGTTTAAGGAGTTCTACAGCGAGAGCAGCGTGAACCGAGACGGACTGGAGTGTCTACGCTTCCTCAATGAGATAATCTCAGACTTTGACGAGGTACAACAATGGCACCCTATTGCCTATATAATGCACTACTTTTGACTAGGGCCCATAGGGCTCCGGTCAAAAGTAGTGCACTATAGGGAATGAGGTGCCATTTCAGAGCTTGGGCTGGAACTACTCAGAAGGGAAGAAGGGCCAGGAGTTTTTCCTCAACTGGTAATCTGACCATGAACTGACCCCCTCTCTATTCTCTCTTTCTAACAGCTTCTCTCTAAGCCAAATTTCTGTTCTGTGGAGAAGATTAAGACTATTGGCAGCACCTACATGGCAGCTGCTGGTCTGACCAATCCTGCTATAGGGGAAGAGCGAAAGGTTGGTAGTAGCCTATTGTGTCCAGCTCTGTTCTGCCTCACTGGGTCCTGTTCAAATACTTATAAAAATACTCCCTTACTTACTCCCTTCTCTAAGGTAGTCAGGGATCTGTACATGATTGGATAAGCAAAAGAAAGGTCACTTATCATCCTATTGCTTTCACCAATCAAATCTTGTCACATCAATGAAGTGAAAGCTCTTAACTCTTGGAAGTTAGGAAGGAGGAAATCCATGTCTGAAGTATGCATTCGAACACGGTCTCTAGTCTGCCTGCCTGTACGGATTCTGACTGAGTGTTCTGATTGTGTTCTCATAGTCTGGTTAAACCCAGACTGAAGGCTGCACTCACCATTGATTCTAACTGAGTGTTCTCTTAGCCGGATTAAACCAGAATGAATTCTGAGCTCACAATTGATTCTGACTGAGTGTTCTCTGTCTCCACCTACAGGACTGTGATGTGTCCTACAGCCATGTACGCAGCATGGTAGAGTTTGCCATCGCTCTGAAGAACAACTTGGAGTCCATCAACCAACACTCCTTCAACAGCTTTAAGCTACGCATCGGTGAGTCTGTCTGTATGGCCAGAAGGACAAGAAAGATATGGACTCTTACTCCATTAATCTTTCCTCGATTACAGGAGGAGGTCAGACAGGAGGGACTTTCTCCTTCAATATGGTTAAGCCTTTTTCAACTAAACTCCCTTGATTTGATAGCCATCTCCCCCCTCCCAACTAACTTTTTCATCACCTCATCTCCTTTACCTTATATAGGGATAAACCATGGTCCAGTGATTGCGGGGGTGATCGGAGCCCACAAACCACAGTATGATATCTGGGGGAACACTGTGAACGTGGCGAGTAGGATGGACAGCACCGGAGTACTAGACAAGATCCAGGTGAGAGAGAGATGGAGAGGGGAGGGAAAGAGAGACAGAGAATGGGTGGAGAGAGGGGAGAGACTGAATGATCTGGTCTACTGATAAAACATTTTGAGAGAGAGAGAGAGAGAGCGCTTGTTAAATGGTTCTCTGTATCCCTCTACAGGTGACCGAGGAAACAGCTCAGGTTGTGGAGACCTTTGGCTTCAGTGTGACCAAGAGAGGAGTCATCACCGTCAAGGGCAAGGGAGAACTGACCACCTACTTCATCAACACCGACTGACCAATCATATCCTCCCTTCTGACCTCTCCAACCAATCATCATCACTCATCTGGCCACACATCAAACACTGACCTATCACAATCGTCCTTATTTATTCTCATACAGTAATGCTGTGAACGGGAACACTGCATTAGGAGGAAGGAGGTGCTGTCTTTTGGATGAATACGTTAAACAGAACGTCAAAAAATAAATACTTGGTTGGCAGGCAATTTGCGATAATTTATTATTTGTGTTTTGAATGAATCTCTCTCTACTCATGAACTACTGTATCTATTTATGTGTGATCTTTTGATGACAGACAACAAACCAAAGCCATTTAGGAATATGCTCTTACTAATGACAGTGACACAGAGTGGGTTCAAGGCAAGTAATGACAGTGAATGTTCCTTATTAGGAAATTATAGGCTATCTGGAAACACAAGATTGTGTAGTTTTCAATGGTTTCCTAAAAGGGATGTCATACATAATTGGTGCTGCCTATAATAAGAATAAGAATGGGCTGATGTTATTTCAATGGATGAGGAAGTAGTTGCCAGTAGGCTGTCACTGCCAAAGGTACTGATGCATTCACACTTTTGAATCCATCTGCCACCACTTTAGTGCAATATAACTTACTGTACATAACTTTTGATAATGGAATTTCAGATAAATGTTTTTTATTTAGTTTTTAAAGATATTCATATATTTTGTCTATTCTGAACGACTTTATAAGCACGCCTGAGCATACAGTATATGAATGCACATAGAAATGAACTAAGATGTGGTAGGTTGTGCAATCGCTTCTGTAAGCTACCAAAAAGTGCATAAAACATTTTGTAAGCTCATAAAAATATGTGTATTTCTTTGTACTCATAATGTTTCATGAACCTGTGAAGCACTGGACATGTGAATGTAGAAATATGTTATATTTAAAAATTATTTAGCTATATGCCCGTTTGGTGAAGCAAAATAAAGGGAATTCACTGTTAAACTATTTTTCAAATGAGTCTTTTATTTTGTACAATTTTGAATTGATTTCCCCAAAAATATTAAAATTGTCTTTTCAGAGCATCTCTAGACCTCAAAGAACCAGGCATCACTTGCCTCTTCGGCCCCTGTACGTCTGAGTCAAGACAAAAATAGTCGAAAAACGGAAAACGGATGATTTTGAAAATCTTCTCTGAATTTGAAAAAGTGAAAATCGTAAATTGACTTGTTTTCTTATTTATTGTGCCAAAATTGCATATGGAATAACAGAAAACAAATAACAACAACATTTATTCCATTTTTTTATTTTCGTTTTTCGTTTTGTTCATACTCGGAAGTACACGCCCCCTCATAGAATATTCACAGCGCTTAGGGGGTGTCTTTACAGCCTATATTGACAGCACAAATAATGGATTATACTGTGTGAGTGTGACAGGAAGATAAAAATTCCCATGTTAACTAAGATGCAGAACTTATTATGAAATTAGCATACCAATAGAACAAACTCAACAAAAACTGAACAAAGTTGACTTGCACTGGCTGGCTGGCTGTTTAGCACTAGCTGGCTGGCTGGCTAGCAATAGTTGGCTGGCTGGCTGGCTAGCTAGCACTAGCTGGCTACTGACTAGCTAGCAGGCTGACTAGCTAGCCCTACCTGGTTACTAGCTATAGTCATGCTAGCTAGTAGTAGCTAGTGGAAGTAAGCTAGCCTCTCAACCTGCTACAAGAAGCTGCCCAGACAGAGCTACCTGCTGCAAAAGGGTTAGAATTCTCCATTACATTCTGTAACTAACTTAGCTAGATCTTCTGTTGGCTGATGGTGTTTATTGACTGAGAAATAATGAACAGCAGTTACTGTAAATGGTTACCTATCTGGCACTTTGCATAGCTAACTTAGATAATGCTCACACATACAACAATACACAATTAAGCTATAGTCAGTGCTGATGTGTGTGTGTGTCTGTGTGAATTCTGAATGTTCCCGCAGGAGAAAAGCACAATATGGCATCTCAGCTGATTATCATGAACTTCATGTAGTTACATCAGCCAATACAATATAAGCCTTTTTATTTCCCTCAATCCTGACTAGTCTCTCAGTCCCTGCCACTGAAAAACATCCCCTGGATGATGCCTGCAACACCACTGCGCATCAACCATATGATGGTGCCTAGGTTTCCTCAGACATGACACTTGCATTCCAGGCCAAAGAGGTTCAATCTGGTTTTTTTTTCATCAGCCAGAGAATCTTGTTCCTCATTGTTCTTGATGGTCCTTTAGGTCGGCTATATCATGTCCTTTTACTGAGGAGAGTGCAATTCCATTCTGGCCACATCTACCATAAATGCCTGATTGGTGAGTGCTGCCAGACGATGGTGTTCCTTCTGGAAAGGTTCTCCCTCTCCCACAGAAGGAAGGCTCTGGAGCTCTTCAGAGTGACCATCAGGTTCTTGGTTACCTCTCTGACCAAGGCCCTTCTACCCTTATTGCTCAGTTTGGCCGGGCGGCCAGCTCTAGGAAGAGTCTTGGTGGTTCCAAACTTCTTCCATTTAAGAATGATGGAGGCCACTGTGTTCTTGGGGACCTTCAATGCTGCATACATTTTTTGGTACCCTTCCCCAGATCTGTGCCACGATACAATCCTGTCTTGGAGCTCTATGGAACATTCCTTCGACCTCATGGCTTGGTTTTTGCTCTGACAACTTATATAGACAGGTGCCTTTCCAAATCATGTCCAATCAATTGAATTTACCACAGGTGGACTCCAATCAAATTGTAGAAACATCTCAACGAGGATCAATGGAAACAGGATGCACCTGAGCTCAATTTTGAGTCTCACAGCAAAGGGTTTCAATACTTATGTAAATAAGGTATTTCTGTTTTTTTATTTGTAATACATTTGCAAAAATTTAGAAACATCTGTTTTCATTTTTGGAGTATTGTGTGTAGATTGGTGAGGAATAAAATAATGTAATCCATTTTAGAATAAGGCTGTAACGTAACAAAATGTGGAGAAAGGGAAGGGGTCTGAAAACTTTCTGAATGCACTGTATTTTGGTTTCAAAACCCCGTACACTAGGTGGCGGCAACACACCAATAGTCTGCATTAAAACATTAAAGAAGAAGAAGTGAGAAGCGACATCAGTACTGAAACGTCATCATTGTGTGCCTGACCATCGTATGTCGTCGATTCAAACTGAGTTCACTGCTTGTGCATAATTTGACGAATATCGACCTACTGTTGGCTAATTTTGCTCAAGAGTAACATAAAAGTAAAGTAAACACTAGTTGGAAAGTCCAAGGTAAGGAATGTTGTCATTTTATATCTTCAGCCTATCTCTCTGGCTAGATGTTTGACCTAACCGTGCATGCTAACAAGCTACCTAGCCAGCTGCTTCAGCTAACTGTACATGTTTATATGTTTAGCAATAGTACCAGTTTACATGCATGCCATATCTAGACAGCATCATAGTTGTCATTTAGCGTAACTTTAGTCCATATACCTATAGCCCAACCCTAGTTCATATGCAATACAAGTATTTGTATGACCAGAAGTGCTGACCTAGCTGCTAGCTAACTTAGCTAGGAAACCTGAACATTTCACCCCCATCTTGCTATATGTCAAGCCAATGCCTCTCTTCGTAGCTAGTCGGGGGTTGTTGTCTTGGAATAGCCTAGTTTTCGAAAACTACAATTCCGACGCAGTGTTTTAACGTTTAGTAACGTCAATCACCGCTTGCGAAACAAATTTCGGAGTACGCTACATAGCTAATTAATACAGGTGGCCTCCTCTGTCTTTCCGTAAACAAGTGGTGTAACATGGCGATATAACTGTGTGGGAACACTACTAACCATATAAAGGTGTGTAGTAATTTAACCTTTTTTATTAGTATTATTCCTCGCGGATATGAAAGATACGCTCCTTGTGTTTCCAAAACCATACCGCAAGCGATGTATTTCAACGTTCAGAACGAGCGTCGGAGCTCTTAACAGAATATCCTCAGCCAGAAGATACTATCGACAATAGGCGCTAAAAGCGCACAGTGGGTTAGGAATAACCTAGTGGCTGACACTAGCAAGATCTTCTATGAAGCTCTGCGAAAACAAAAGAACAGTGTTTGTTTTGGTCATCGTCAAATATGCCATTCTTGTTATAGTAATGTGCTCTTCTTGTGGTTCAACATAGTTCTACGTTGCCATGGCGTCTCCAGGGGGACAGGGAGGAGGGGCAGTGTCTACAAGAGGAGCAGGAGCTAGGAGGATGAAATGGGCTCTGGAGTTGAGCTTGGGCAATGCCAGGTAAGACTAATGACCTGTGGCTTAGCTGTTCTAGCGGTAATCCTCTATCACTATTGTGCTGACATTTCATGAGTCCAGATCAACAGTTACACAGATAAACAGGCATGAAATGCTTAAATAACTACCTTGTTATAACTAATCTATAACCTACAGCTTATGTTATAACCTCTCCCTCATGGATCACCCTCTAACTGTCCTCTCTGTCTTCCAGGGGTCGTGGAGACAGACAGAGTAACCAGGGAGATGTGATGTACCCCATTGGATACTCAGACAAACCAGTCCCAGACACCAGCATCCAGGAAACAGACAAAAACCTGGTGGAAAAGGTAGGTCACCAGAAGAGGGTGCATAGGCACATTTGAGTCTATAGGCAGTAGAAAAACAGTAGGATTTTGCTTTCATAACATCATGATATATTGTTCACAAAGCTCCCTTTGTGTTTTGTACTATTTCTATCTTACTATCTTAATATATTGTTATTAACTTGCTCTCTTCTCTACCCCCATCCCCCTTTCTCTCCACCTCCTCCCCCCCCTCCATAACAGCGTTGTTGGGACGTGGCCCTGGGCCCCCTGAAGCAGATTCCCATGAACCTGTTCATCATGTACATGTCTGGTAACACCATCTCCATCTTCCCCATCATGATGGTCTGTATGATGGCCTGGAGGCCCATCCAGGCTCTCATGTCCATGTCTGCTAGTGAGTATTTGTTTTACCTTTTCTTTTAGCAGGGAGGCCCATTGAGACTAAGGTCTCTTTTGCAAGGGAGCTCTGCTCTGCTCACAATATTAATGAAATGTGTTCAACAGGTACAGACAGTGCACATCAATCAACATTTCAGTTTCCACATCAATCAATGTATGTGAAAGAGTCAGTTATCAACAGCGCAAATGTTCATCCATAGTCTCTGGGCAGGTTGAAACAGATATAGGACATCCGCAATACATCTGTACAAATACACAAAAAGGCAAAAGAGTAGCTCTGCCAGTGCCTTGCTCTCTAATGAGACTACAGCAGTGTTCACCAACCTTTGTCCTGGAGCTCTCCAGAACTTATATATCATGATTGAATTGTATTTAATACAAACTTCCTTTTGATTTATTTTTGAACCGTTTTCCATGTATGAATCTGTTATTCAATGTTTCATCAAATAATTTGTGTATATTTTTGATACCTAAAGATGTCCTAAAAATCAAGTCTAAATGATCCTTGGTATTGCTATCTTAAGCAATAAGGCCCGAAGGGGTGTGGCATATTTAAGCAATAATGCCCGAGGGGGTGTGGTATATGGCCAGTATACCACAGCTAAGGGCTGTTCTTAAGCACGATGCAACGCAGAGTGCCTGGACACAGCCCTTAGCTGTGGTATATTGGCCATATATTGCAAACCATATATTATTCTGTCATCCACCACAGTTGTTTTCTGTGGTCTTCCAGGCCTTTTGGGGTTCCTGAGCTCACCAGTGCGTTCTTTCTTTTTAAGAATTTACCACACCTAATTTGGCCACACCTAATGTTTTAGCTATATCTCTGATGGGTTTGTTTAGATTTTTCAGCCTAATGATGGCTTGCATCACTTCGCAGTGACAGTTTTTAGACTTCATATTGAGCGATAACAGCAACAGATTACAAATTCAAATGCCACACTTGAAATCAACTCTAGACCTTTTATCTGCTTACTAGTAAATTAACTAATGAGGGAATTACACACACCTGGCCATGGAACAGCTGAGCAGCCAATTGTCCAATTACTCTTGGTCCCTTAAAAATGGGGGGACCACATATAAAAAGTGCTGTAATTCCTACACCGTTCACCCGATTTGGATGTAAATACCCTCATATTCATTATTTAATTTCAATTCCAATATGGAGTGGTAGACAGCTAAAATAATAACTTGGTCAATGTCATATTTATGGACCTGACTGTAATTAGAGCAGTAAAAATACATGTTTTGTCATATCCGTGGTATGCGGTCTGATATACCACGGCTTTCAGCCAATCAGCATTCAGGGCTCGAAACCACCCTGTTTATAATGGCCAATCTAACACTGCCAAGGGCTGTTCTTAAGCACAACGTAAAGTGGAGTATATTGGCCATATCACAAACCCCTGAGGTGCCTTAATGTTATTATAAACCGGTTACCAACATATATGACACAAGTATTCATGTGTCATATCTGTGATATATTGTCTGATATACACACAGCTGAAATACAGTTTCAGCCAATCAGCATCCAGGACCCAAACTACCCGGTTTGTATTATGTCATTTATAAGCATGTTACCACTGCTCACTCTTGCCCTTTCTCTCTTCAGCATTCAAGCTGTTGGAGAACTCTAACCAGCAGTGGCTCCAGGGGCTGGTCTATTCTGTAGGGAACCTGCTGGGCTCGGCATTGGCTATCTACAAGTGTCAATCAATGGGGCTTCTTCCAACTCACTCTTCTGATTGGCTCGCTTTCATAGAACCTCCTCAGGTGATAATTTTTTCTATGCAGTTATCCGTCCAATTTCTTGTTCTCTCTTATGTGTTATAGGATGATTCACTTGTTTTTCAGGTTTATTTGTCATGTATAATGAATACATTGGAAATCTTACTCACCTGTGCTGTTGTGGTAAAAAAAAGAAGAAGACGAAAAGCAGCAATGAACAGGATGACAGAAAATACATGATAATTTAGGAACAATCTTCCTTTATATGTGTTCAGTGAAAGCATTACCATGTTAATTGAAATCTTTTGGAACACTCCACATTAGCTTTCCAAAATACTTCGATACACTCTCACAGCTGTAATACGCTGACTGCAAGTGGCAGGACTTCCCGTTTCTAATTTTACCTAATAAAATATCCACGTTTCACTACGTTCCGACCACATAATGGGGCAACAACGTGATTATACTAATCACGATAATTCACAATGTTCGTCTGCATAATTTAAATCTAGGATTCATTTGCATGAAACAAAGTCCACTTGATCAATAGTTATTGCTCTAGTATCCTCTGGTGCCAATGAGATCTATAGTGCCACCAACTGGTCTGGTGCAGCCATCTAAGGCTGCAGTGACTTTATATTCACAGATTCTAAGGACTTAAGGTTCATATACCAAATGTCATTGCCCCATGTACATCGGTTCAGTTCTAGTAGCCAGTTGTTGCCCATGGTGGAATTGTCTAACCTGCTAGCTCCTGAAGCCCCCATGAGCTCCAGAGTCTAGAAGCAGTCTAGCTAACGTTACAAGAAAATGGCTGCGATGACTCACGCTAGCTAGCTAACAAGCCCTTATTTTTTAAGATATCAATGCCAAACAACATGGTTCATCATGGTAATGTCTGATGACCCTAAAAAGTTGAAAGTTGATAGGCCATTGTGGAGTGGATTTACAAAGGATTGAAATGGACACACCAATCAATAACTCAGCCATCTCTTAACCAATCCCTTAGCTTTTCTCAAACGACGTTAAGAGATGTACCATGGGCCTACATACCAAATTGTGTTCTTTGGACTTATGGTTCATGATGATAATATTTTCCAAAATGACAAGATGGAGGAAAATCTTAGCCTGACGACACACTCAATTCGTTATTAGTCTGTACATTAGTCTGAGACTGCCATCATTTAGGGGCAGGAGGGTTGTTGTACAAAACAAAGTCAGCTTTTGACCATGTCAGCTTTGTTGTGAACCCCTAAATATACTCATACATACACTAAACAAAAATATAAACGCAGCATGTAAAGTGTTCGTCCAATGTTTCATGAGCTGAAATAAAATGCGCAAAAATACAGTGACGAGATCCTTAGGCCCATTTCTTTTTTTTTTTGGTATCTGTGACTAACAGATGCATATCTGTATTCCCAGTGACGTGAAATCCATAGATTAGGGCCTAATGAATTCATTTCAATTGACTGATTTCCTCATATGAACTATAACTCAGTAAAATCAATGAAATTGTTGCATGTTGAGTTTTATCTTTGTTCAATATACATACAACAACCATAAGCCTAATATGCATAAAATGGTACAATGTGTGTTCCTGTTGTAATGGGTAGTACAAATATATAAACTTTGACATCTTTCTGTTCTCTGCAGAGGATGGAGATCATGGGTGGAGGGATGGTATTGTGAAGAGGACAGAAGACACACACATACTGAAATATGCTGAACTGTTCTATTAATACATTAAATCTCTTCAAAGTTTTTTTCAATTCTCTGGCTTTTAGGTTTTCATAGAATCCTCAAGCTTTTTATTTATCTACATTTTGTTGGTTGTCATTTGAGATTTCATTTGTTGTCACAGGTAATAAAATGTTACAGAACACATTCAACAACTGATAATAGGACAAACAATGTCATGTTTGCAAAAACGTTCACCATCCTACTAAATCCACAAGGTTAAATTAAGGTGTCACCATAACATGTTTTTCATTTTCATCTTTTTGTCAAATAAAATTGTTTTAAAAAAAAAAAAGTGTTAAGTAGAATGGTTATTAGCATAGACGACTGGAAAAATGACTGATCAGAAATGTGTGGACCTAAATTTACTGGTAAATGTGGGAATGTCGTACTGGAATAAACACATATTTTTTTAGGAATTTAGATTTTCCCTTTAACCTTGGACACCCTTTACAAAAACTTTCCCTGTGTTGAAAACAGGCGGGCAGGCCATAGGGTCAGACCGGCAGTGAAGGAAAGGGAAAGTGGGGGTAGATCACCTTAATATTGCAGATAGATTGTAACTTCCATCAATGTAATTGTCTGCATCACTTCCAATCCCCCATGTTTTTTTATATATATACACACACACATACATATCCTTTAAAAATATATATATTCCCCTTTATTACTTTCCAACCCCACCACCCTTTCCCTAATTGGGGCATGTTGGTGAAGGCTATGGAGCCACATTTGGAGAGGTACATGTAGGTTACTTTTGCATTGAATCACAAAGGTAATTCATTAGTGTCTTGGCGAAATCCGGAATGTTAGTTAGTTAATATTTCCAACAATGATTGCATAAGTTATTGTTTCTTCTCATACATTTTGTACATTGCAAAGTCCTAAGTCAAGTCATTGGAAAAATAACTCACATTCTCATGTACGGTGGGGGAAAAAAAGTATTTAGTCAGCCACCAATTGTGCAAGTTCTCCCACTTAAAAAGATGAGAGAGGCCTGTAATTTTCATCATAGGTACACGTCAACTATGACAGACAAAATGAGATTTTTTTTTCCAGAAAATCACATTGTAGGATTTTTAATGATTTTATTTGCAAATTATGGTGGAAAATAAGTATTTGGTCAATAACAAAAGTTTCTCAATACTTTGTTATATACCCTTTGTTGGCAATGACACAGGTCAAACGTTTTCTGTAAGTCTTCACAAGGTTTTCACACACTTGCTGGTATTTTGGCCCATTCCTCCATGCAGATCTCCTCTAGAGCAGTGATGTTTTGGGGCTGTCTCTGGGCAACACAGACTTTCAACTCCCTCCAAAGATTTTCTATGGGGTTTAGATCTGGAGACTGGCTAGGCCACTCCAGGACCTTGAAATGCTTCTTACGAAGCCACTCCTTCGTTGCCCGGGCAGTCTGTTTGGGATCATTGTCATGCTGAAAGACCCAGCCACGTTTCATCTTCAATGCCCTTGCTGATGGAAGGAGGTTTTCACTCAAAATCTCACGATACATGGCCCCATTCATTCTTTCCTTTACACGGATCAGTCGTCCTGGTCCCTTTGCAGAAAAACAGCCCCAAAGTATGATGTTTCCACCCCCATGCTTCACAGTAGGTATGGTGTTCTTTGGATGCAACTCAGCATTCTTTGTCCTCCAAACACGACGAGTTGAGTTTTTACCAAAAGTTCTATTTTGGTTTCATCTGACCATATGACATTCTCCCAATCCTCTTCTGGATCATCCAAATGCACTCTAGCAAACTTCAGACGGGCCTGGACATGTACTGGCTTAAGCAGGGGGACACGTCTGGCACTGCAGGATTTGAGTCCCTGGCGGCGTAGTGTGTTACTGATGGTAGGCTTTGTTACTTTGGTCCCAGCTCTCTGCAGGTCATTCACTAGGTCCCCCGTGTGGTTCTGGGATTTTTGCTCACCGTTCTTGTGATCATTTTGACCCCACGGGGTGAGATCTTGCATGGAGCCCCAGATCGAGGGAGATTATCAGTGGTCTTGTATGTCTTCCATTTCCTAATAATTGCTCCCACAGTTGATTTCTTCAAACCAAGCTGCTTACCTATTGCAGATTCAGTCTTCCCAGCCTGGTGCAGGTCTACAATTTTGTTTCTGGTGTCCTTTGACAGCTCTTTGGTCTTGGCCATAGTGGAATTTGGAGTGTGACTGTTTGAGGTTGTGGACAGGTGTCTTTTATACTGATAACAAGTTCAAACATGTGCCATTAATACAGGTAATGAGTGGAGGACAGAGGAGCCTCTTAAAGAAGAAGTTACAGGTCTGTGAGAGCCAGAAATCTTGCTTGTTTGTAGGTGACCAAATACTTATTACCCACCATAATTTGCAAATAAATTCATTAAAAATCCTACAATGTGATTTTCTGGAAAAAAAATTCTCAATTTGTCTGTCATAGTTGACGTGTACCTATGATGAAAATTACAGGCCTCTCATCTTTTTAAGTGGGAGAACTTGCACAATTGGTGGCTGACTAAATACTTTTTTCCCCCACTGTATGTACACTTGCAAGTTGGAAGCTACAAGTCGACAACTTTGTAAATAAAACGGATTAAGAAAACAAATGAGATGACTGACTGAAAGTCCAGCCAATCGTTGTATTTGGTACCCTTCTTTGAGCACTTTGTCCCACCCTAACATGACTCGCTTCTTCACCATAAAATACAAAACGTGGTCGAAATAGGCATAGTAGCCCATCCTGCACTGAATAACACAGGTAAATTAAATCGCATTAGACTGCAGATTAGACTTGCAAGCTTATTGACCACAAGCTCTCACGTGCAGTGGCGACCCGTCATTCAGGGTAGGTGGGGCAAAGTTGAGCTAAATGTTAGCATTAATAGGTGTCACATAGCAGTTTGCAAACAATGTAAAAATAATAATAATTGAGTTACTAAAGCCGCATACAAACCTGGTCTCTTTGCTTTCTTGAGTAAGGCAGCTCCAAAATGTAGGTGTTTCAGTCTAGCTCATTGCTTTCTGTGGTGGAGGGGCAGCCAGTGGAAAATACAGAGTGTAGGCGTTGGTTTTTCTTCTCTAGTTGCGTCCTGATTGACTCAGTGTTCTGTCACTCATGGGATCAGCGCAGAATCTACAGGGAGAGCAAGGCAGTTCAAGCCCCCTTGGGTGTTACCATAGATTTGCATTAGAAGTGCCCATCCAAGAAGGCTCAAGTTCATTGGCCACAGATAAAATGACGTCAAATCACGTTATATCTACCGTAGCTTTCATTGTCAACATCATACTTTCAAAATCTTAGCTAGCAAGCTAGCTGTTATGAGAATTTCTATCCCAATGTTTCAAAAATGAACTTATTACTCAGTCTGTATCCCAGAGGTTGTAAATCTCTAATAAGCAGACCAAGCAGCCCAGCATACAATCATCAGGGTTTATTCATGAGAACGTTCTAAAACAAAATGGTCGTACAATATTTTTATATGCACACGTCAGAGATAAAATCCCTCCCCTCTGTAGGCAGGCTGTAGTTTTCCACTTTATAATTGCTCTCCTGACCATCAGTTCACACACACTAATCATACTTAAAACAAGAACATTTCACAACTATATTTAAGGGTGGAACATTTAGTCATTACTTTTAACCTGAGTCCTATATCAATCCACCATTTGACTAAATTATCCACATTTTAATACACAGAAAATCATTACAATTACTTTTAAACTAGAGATTTATAGTTCTAGGAAAACATCCAGTCTCAAACTATCTGAATCGTCGTCGTCCTCCACCAAGCCTGGTGGGTCATATTCTTCATTCCTTAGGTCGGAGTCCGGGATTGGGCCGTATCTCACCATCTGCTGTGATACTGCATTCCTCCAACGCCTTGCTCAACAACCCTCTCGGACACAGGGAATAAGACAACATCCATAAAGAACAAGTATACCCATAGAAGCTATAGCTGCACCCAGAATAGTTACAACAATAGTTTTCCATTTACCAAACATGTTATCAAACCAACCAGTCATTGATGTATTCACCCCCCAGTTCTCAGCCCATTCTTTACTTAATGCAGTGAGACCTGCCAGTGCTCTAGTTACTGTACCATCTGGGGCTGTATTGTTGGGGATAAATATACAACAATGACCTCCCACCATCTTGTAAATCTGCCCTTCTCTGCTAAAAGCATTTCGAGAACCAAACTATTCTGCAGGTCATGAGTGAGGTGGCGGATAGTTGGCCTGAGATTCTCTTCACTGCATCCCTTGTCTAATTAACAAACCTTTGTAGATGTAATTAATCCAGTCAACATTTTTATCAATTGTAACCCACCAGAAAAACGTTGTTGTAAACCCTTCTCCAATTTTATCTGTGATTCGCATTACTTAGGTGTCTATAACATTGATACTCTCTGGGGTTCATGGTGAATTGGGGTGCCTTAGTATTATCCTTTTTAAGAGTGGTTATTTTAATATCAGAACAATTAGGTGAGGTTTGGTTTGATCCCAAATCTATCACACAAGAGAACATGGTCTGAGGCATAGGTGCAGTTACAAGGGTTGGCCTACCTGTTGAACAGGCATAACAATTAGTTTGACCCAACGCCCTAGCTGTGTAGTTCATCCACCTTACCCAGAAGTTCTCATTTAAAAATTCCTTCTACTTCTCCTTTCATTTCCTGCAAGAGGAAATATTCTACCCTTGGTGGTTTAGTGCTATTTAGGATTCCTTCTGAGGGCCTTCCAAGGGGTATTAGACTAGTTTTTTGGTACCTCTGGTGATAACATTAGATCTACCTGCAGTTCTGTCTCGGGGGTGGAAGATTCATTTCTCTCCTTAAAAATGAACCTCAAACATATATCTGCCCCGAAATCATCAACACAGGCCCAATAGTTCCTTGCTATGTCATCTTGCATAATTTACTTTACCGTTATCACCAGTTCCGTTTTACATTTATCATGGGTTTGTTTAA